TTTGAGATTTAGATCGGGTGTATCAGAATTTGTAAGTATAGGTATATTGAAATTATAGTTTCACATAAAAAATTATTATTTAAAGAGTTTTTTGTCTAGTCTATAGAATATTCTATAAGATTATAATTTCGACTAGTCTATGGACTGATAGAATGTATAATTATTAGTTAAATGTCTAGTCTATAGACTAATTCTTTCACATATCTAATTCTTACGCAAACCGAATGTCTATTCTTTAGACTAGATGAATGTTTAATCTAAATGAAATCAAATGTTCAATCTATATACTAGTCGAAACTCTTTTCAACAGATTAACCGATATTCTTGTCTATAAACTATTCTATAAAGTAGTCAAGACGTTTTAAGATTGATACACAAATTTTTAACATTATACAGGTTTCAGATCGTAAAACAACGATTAAAAAGCTACAAGAAAATCCGTATGAAATAAATGCTTTAGTACAAGACATCAATTATCCATATTTTGATGAACATAAATTGCCCAGATCCAGACAGTGCATGATGAGGGTAAGTATTATACTTCAATTTGAAGAGAAACACTTTATATAAACAATACATCTTAGTATTGTGATATACGCATTAACAAAATACAAGAAATGTTGGAGAAAATACCTTCTCCCATGGCGGGAGCTATATGTAATGAACGTACCGGCTGGTTACCTCAGGGATTTGATGGACAAGTGCGCCAGATTGTAAGTAATTCCATAAAGGATTTATTGAAAAATTACTATCGTAAAGAACAAATTCATGCAGAAGTTGATTCATATGAAAATGAGGTAAGTTATATTTCTGTTTAATAAATTGCAAATAGTAAGATTAATTTGCATTCAGGAACACGAAGATGCCGAAGAGGAGGAGGAAGAAGATGAAGAAATGGATGATAGCATGATGAATGACGAACAATTGGTGGAAATTTTAGATGAAATGCAACTAGAAGGTGAAGGAAATACATAATAAATTTCTTTTTTATTTATGAGTTAAGCCGGCTATATGCTTTAGTTCTTTATTAATGTAAGAATATTCAATTAATTTTTTTGTTCATCATAACAAATAAATATACGTTTTTTATGCAAAACATTCTAAATGCTCTTTTTATAATTATTTTTTTTAAATTTAAATTAAATTCCTTTCACGCTGTTAACTGCTTAAGGTTTGCATCTGTCCAAGAAACGTGGATACAAACATACCTCACGAATATGATAACGGTTAAGTAACCAACAGAGCAAACGTTCCAAACCCAAACCATAACCACCATGAGGCTGGGCACCATAGATACGTTGATCGGTATACCAATAGTAAGGCTTGGGATCGATACCCTCACGTTCATAACCCTTAAGTAATTCCTCATTATCGTAAATCCTCATGGAGCCGCCAACAATTTCGCCCACATTTGGCAACAAAACATCAACACTCTCGGTTAGTTCACGATCCTCAGGGCAAGTAGACATATAGAAAGATTTAATGTTTTTGGGGAAACGACACAACATAATGGGTTCATTAATGGTGTCAGTCATCTTACGTTCAGGAGCCTCTGGTATATCCTAGAAACAAAATTTATTTAAATAAATCTAAAGAACAAATTATTCTTAATAAAACATACTTCACCGAATTCATAGAATGTACCATCATCCTTGGTAACATTGTTTTCCTTTAACCACTTAATAGCATCGGCATAGTTCATACGTCTGAATGGTTTTTTGGGTGCCTTAAAATCGGGATTCAATTCATGAACCAAATGACCCCAAGGAGATTTTAAAACACGATCAACAACATCGCAGACAAGATCTTCCAAACGATTCAATAAATCATCGAAAGTGATGAAGGGACATTCAGCTTCAATGTGTGTATATTCAGCCAAATGACGTCTAGTACGACTCTGTTCGGCACGATAACTTTGAGCAATACAGAAAACATCACCCAATGCTGGTAAACAAGTTTCCAAATATAATTGAGAACTTTGTGTAAGATAGGCCTCTTCACTGTAATAATGAAGATGATTTTATTTTAGTTTCAAATCATTCGAAAATGTCACATAAATGATGAACATAAATAAACTAAAACTAATTATAAAAGGAGTTGGAACATACGGACTTATGTCCGTTGGAATATGGAGCAATCCTAAAAGATGTTATATACCTCCTGTTTGGTTTGAATTTTCCCGAAATATGAATTATAAACCGATTTATATTTATAGAAAGTCTCGGTTTGTGAAGTTCGTACAAGGGGTAACAAAAGTAAACATTTAAAAAATTTTGACTGTACTTAGGATTTCTTTTTGTTTCTTAACAAGGCAATGATGCAATTAAACAAAAGTTACTGAAGTTTAAACATGAACTAGAACAATATAGCCACAATGTCGAAATGTATCACTGGTATTTTAAAGCCTGTTATGAACTTTAGATCTATCTGATGAAGGGCATATTTTGAGGCGGCTCGGATCAAATATGGACCGATGTCCGCTGACCCCTATGTGCTTACTGAAATGACATATTTTTGTAAATAAGCGAAAGCATAAAGGAGAATAAGAATAATTGGGAAAAGGATTTTCTTGTGCCTATAATAGGTATTTTGCTGACTTTTTATGTGATATATATAGATAAACAACACTCATAGATAAAGTCCCACTCACCTGAAATATTGTAATTTGAAAAGTGTAGAACCACCTTCAACTTGAGTTTGTACCAAAGTGGGAGGGGTAACCTCACAATAACCACGATCAAAGTAATGAGCACGGAATGCTTGCATTACAACGGAACGCATTTTCAATATCTTCGAAGTGTTTTCACCTCTAATCATAATATGACGATTATCGAGTTGAACATCGGGATGAGCCTCTTCGTTGAGAATACTTTCGGCACCACCGGCAGGAGCCAAACCAATTAATTCCCAATAATCAACATGCATTTCATGACCACCAGGAGCCTTAATTATAGGTATAATACAATATGTTAGCTTTAAATTTGTTATTTATTAGAAACAAACTCACCGATTTACCCTCTGGCACAGGTTTTAGAGTACCAAACAATTGTACTGAACTCTCGGTAGTCAGAGTTAAAGCATCATACGTTTGACACAAACGATCATGCAATACACACTGCAAGAAACCAGTACCGTCACGCAATGTAATGAAAATTAAACCTTTGCCTTGACGCCTCAAACGATGAACCCAACCAAAGATCTTTACACGTTTTTCACGATTTTCTGTACCTTCAAAGATGCGTATCTTTTCGGCTGCCGGCCAGCTGGGATCTTCAGAGATAACAATCTTCTTGGCTTCATCCAAATTTTGTTTACGCTTTTCGGCGTCTTCAGCTTCACGTTTTTCCTTATCGGCATTTTTAAAACTTTCACGTACCCAAATCTTTTGGATTTTCTTCAATTGCGACTTGGCAGCTGCTTCGTATTTTTCAGCCGCTTCAGGATCTTTGCTATCGACATAGATGACCGGGAAAGGTTCCTTGCCAGCATGTCTCATGGCTTGCAAAATGGTTTTGTACGGCTTCAATTCAGAACCATCACCATTTTCATCACTGCCAGTCTTTTCGGAGGTATATATAGCTCCTGGAGAAAAATGGATTTTTCAAATTAAAATATGTTCACATGTATTGATACATAGTATAGACGTGTGTCATCGGTTGCCAGCTCAACAACGTGCACAACGCTGACATATTTTCCTTTAATATTTTACACTTACCCAACGTTAAGTTGGCCATCTCGTCAGCTGGCATTATAGTGTTTGATTTCTTTATGATTAATTTGCTATTTATTTATTAATTTTCAATTTTTATTTTTGCAAAAATTGCATCAGATTCTCACGTTTCACTAGAAAAATTAAGAGTAATAGAAAAGAAAAGACTCGTGCCGCAACAAATTTTACAACGCCGTTCGATTATAAAAATGTTAGCGGCATCTTTATGCCGGCTGTTAGATATCAATGAGAAACATTAAATAACAAATACAATTTAAGTAACAATTCATCATATATTTTCGAAAATATTTTGGAAGTTTTTCTAAAACAGGTATAATTTCTTAATAAAAACAATTTATAATACAATATTTTTTATTTAGTATTTATCGACTTTTGTAATTTTCAAAAATCAATAAAAAATTTACCGTTTGAGTCAACAAATTTGATGTGTGGCCATGTCGCTTTAAATATTTTTATTAGAGATGTTAAATCAGAGATGAGAGAGCAAAATTATAAATACTAGAGATGATGGAAAATGTATTTTTTTTGATAGTTTTCGCATTAAAAATACATTTTGTGTTAGCGAAATAATTAAAAAATTAAAAAGTAATTATTTTAAATTTAATTTGTTGATTATTTGGAATTAGATCAATAAAACACACATATTGTAAAGTTAATTTTTTGACATATTGTGAAATAATAGGAGTATTTATTGTACCAAATAAACCGGACTGCCGGGATGTTCTACATCGATATTAGTATGGCTCGATATGAGTAGCATCGTTTGAACCTTAAATGGCAGCTGAATATATCTTGGGACACATACGGGCGACCTAAAAGTATGATATTCGGCATTTGCCTGACGGATACCATACCCACAATGTATGTACCTATGAATGTTATTGGAGTTTGTATATAAGACAATGTTATCCTCAAACATCCTACATATGTATATGACAAATTTCAAAGGAGTTCCCTAAGTTTGATGCTTAAGTTGGAACAATCACAAGGACTGTTTATATAGGTATGTAACACTTTTAAAACTAATTTAAATAAGAATAAAATAACATTTCTCAGATCGTACTTAATTTTAACTTTTCTGACAAATTTCAAGAAAGTTCCCAATAGTTTGATGCTGGGATGATGACAAGAGCTGTTTTGTACATGTAGACCATAACAGTGCTAAAGGTAACACTTTTAAATAAAATTTTTACATTTTCAATCCGTATCGAAATTTGATTTTGTTAGGATTTTCTTTCAAATAAAAACACACTATTCAATTTTTAAAAACTTTAAATATTTTATTAAAAAATAAAACAAAATTATTAACACCATAAATCTACATACATATGTACATATATTCACTTCTTATTAAATAAAGCCGGTTCCACATACAAAAACATTTGACTCTTCGGAATGGTTATGTTTGGTAAAAAATTCTTCAGATCTTCATCTAGGGCAATTGCAAATTTTATATCTCGCGGTTCAATTCTTCCTTTACGCTCGTTTGCAATATAGCCGGCCTGTTCTATTAATTCTGATGTTAAATATTGTAAAACAGCACTCAAACACACGGGAGCCGTTTTACCTATACGTTCTGCATAACGACCCTTACGCAAATAACGGTGTATACGAGCAACGGGGAATTTTAAATTAGCCTTTTTTGAACGAGATTTTCTAACGGTCTTCTTTTTGCTCTGCCGCGAAATTACTTACGATAAACTAATGAAATTTAACAATGAAAAATTATTGGTAATTCTACCGGTTTAAATACATATTTATGTATACCCAAACCAACGCAAAAACAAAACAATTAATGAGAGGTATTTTACACTCAGTATTTGCTATAATTGAGAATTACTAATAACTACACAATTTCCAATTGTATTTCTGAACTTTCTAATTGTATTTCAAAAAATGCAAATTGTATTTTATAAATTTTCCATTACATTTCAGAAATTTATTATTCAAATTCTCAAACATTTTTTTTCCAATTGTATTTTAGCAAATAAAAATTTAGCTTAACTTAAATTGCAATTCTATTTTAGCAATTTCCATTTGAAATTTAAAATTTTGTAATTTTATTTTAGTTATATACAACAGAATTCTTTATTATTTAGTAATTATTTTAATAAATTTTTTTAAAATAATTATAATTATATTTAATTAAATAAAATATTAAAAATTCTGAAATTAAATAGGTGATTCCTAAAATATGAATAAAATTTTCTAAAATAAAATTGAAAATTTCTTAAAAACAACTAGTTTTGAAATAAAATTAGTCATTAGAAATGCATTTGGAAATCGTGTAGTACGTCATATCAAGTGCCAATGATTTTCTGGCATGCCTGAGCAAGCTTTTGTTTTGTTTACGTTTTTTTGATTATACTTTTGCTTTTTTGTATAATAGATAAAGAGCATATTGTTTATATTTATAATGTATACAGTGTCTGGCAAAAATTGCTGAATTTTATTGATTTAAAAAAAAAATATATGTATGTAATTAAATGTTTAACTTACAATAAGCTATCTGGTAGTTTTTTGAAACAGGTAAAAACTGTATTTTGTTTTTCTTTTTTAATAAATAAAAAATTTATTAATTCCCCAGGAAAAACTTACATTGAAAAGTAATGAGTTAAATAGCTAATAAAACCTCTTTTCACTACTTCTTCATTAGCATTTTAAGTCATTATTTTAACACGGTGATGTCATTGGAGGCAAGTACTTCTACGCACGCTTACAAATAGGGACTTAAAGAAGTACTTGCAATTTCCCTTACAAAACAGTTGTTGAGTAAGTTGTTTTGTTTTTTAATAATAAAAAGAGACAGCTAGAATACGAACCAGGGGCTTCGGTTTGTTAGTCAAATGTTCTACACACTGCACCACTGCTTAGCTATTTTATTGCGCGTCAAATAATGGTTTTCATAAACAAAACTAATTTTGTTTTATTTTTTTAAAACACAATTCTTAAAACGCAAATGACAAACAAAATGACAAAGCCGAAAATAAAGTACTTCTATATCAGATTATAAGAAAGTCATTACTAGAGTACTTCTATGTAATGCAGACGGTAAGTAGTAGTCATTGAAAAGTAAGTGGTTATGGAAGTACAACCCATTACCGAGTTTTTGCTGGGTCATTCGTAACTTATCGACAAAAATATATATATAAACTTAGTACTTTTTAGATATTCGGTTGTTTATCCAACTAGAACTCTGATTAATTTTTTTGGTGTTTTTTCAACTGGTACTTTTCGAATATTTTTAATATTAATCTTAGAAACATAGAATTAAACACGCAGCCTCTTTATTGAATGAAAATACTTTTTCATTTTCCAACTGGATTATTCCAACAGATAATCAAAATTTAAGACCATAAATACTAATTTAGTAGGTTTTTCGCTTTTTTCTTTCTATGACGCATTTTCGGGCAATTTTCAAAAAAAAAACCCTTCCAGGTAATGATCTATTCTTGTTTCAAATTTCAAGTCCAACCGTTCAGGCGTGATTGACGCATAATCAAAAATCAAGCAAATAACTAAACTTCCAAAGAGATTTATAATATTTATTTTATTGTTTAATTATATTATACATTTATAAATGTCATTATCCTTTATTTACAATTTACTTTTCATTCATATTTTTGGTATTTATAAAATTTTTATTTAAAAAAAATATTTGTTTGAATTTCCTTCTGCAGCGTTGTATTTTTAGAACAGTTTTGAAAAAAAAGTTACAAACACAAATCCAGGATTGTGCTTGTACAATGTTTGTGTAGTGTGTACAAATGAAAAAGTATGTACATATGTATGTTTCCGCTCCTCCTGCGTAGTCTATGTGGATCTTTAGTCACTAAACACTAATGTTTAGCCTTAACATCATTTGAGACTTCCCAAGAAATGTTTTTATGTATATATATAGTTTTAAAACCCTTACAATTATTAAGTAAAGCAGGTTCAATATACAAAAGTTTTTCACTATTCGGTATAGTTATATTTGGTAGGAATTTTCTTAGCTCAGGATCCAATTCAATGCCAAATTTTATATCTCGCGGTTCAATTATTTTTCTATATCCATCGATTGCAATATTGCCCGCCAGTTCTATTACTTCCGAAGTTAAATATTCCAAAACGGCACATAAAAATACTGGAGCTGTTTCACCAATACGTTCTGCATAACGGCCTTTACGTAAATAACGATGTATGCGAGCAACGGGAAACTTTAAATTAGCCTTTTTTGAACGAGATTTTCTAACGGTGCTCTTTTTGTTGTGCTTCTCCATTACTTACAATTAACTGGTGCAATTTAATAATGAAAAATTTTTCGTAAGTTTGCCGGTTTAAATACAAATATACACAAATATATAACGTAAAAAACAAATGAGAATGAGAGGTACTATTATGCTCATATTATATGTACTTTGAGAATTACTGATAACTATCCCAGCTGTACTGGGGGCCCTGCCTCGAACTATGTAGTTATTTAACATACCGCTAAGCACAAAACTATCTAATACGACTGTCTCTGCTCTGTATTAGCAAGAGCACTTTAGTGACGATTCGTCACTGACGAATAACTCAATATGTATGTAAAATGTATGTACATTTTATACAAATTAGATTCAACAAGACATTATAGAAATTATTGTTTTTTATAGATTCATAAACTCTTAATTGAACTGCTGGGTTAGCACGTCATATCTAATCGATATTTTACTTTAATGTCTATGCATGGCTGTGCAAGTTTCTGTTTTGTTTACGTTTTTTTGTATAGTAGGTATGTACATATGTAGTAAAATATTGATATTAACAACGTACATATGTACATATATAGTGATGTACAGTGACTCAAACAGAAAATGGGATATGGCTCATATTTAATGTTAAACATGAAATTGAGCATGTAGAATGAGAACCTATAAAAGGGAACTTTTTTTCTTCTTCAAAAGGCACTTTTTGAATTTTCTATAATGTTGAACCTATAAACATGAAATTAAGCTTGTAGAGACAGAATTAAAAGGTACCTTTTGAATTTTCTATAATATTGAACCTAGAACCGTTAAATTAAGCGTGTAGAGCCCAGAGTGAAATCATATAAAAGTGAACTTTTTGGTATCTTTTGTTCTACGAAAGGTACTTTTTATACCCTTCACCTTCGTGAGACTTATACATGCTTATACAAAACAATAAACAAACAAAAACAAAACACAGTATCGAACGGTAAATTTTTTTTGTTATTTGTTATTGTAAGAACCTATAAAAGGGGGCTTTTTGTTACTTACAAAACGTTATACAAAACGTACTTTTTGAATTTTCTATAATATTGAACCTATAAAAAGGAATTTTTTTGGTACTTTTTCGTTCTACAAAAGGTACTTTTTTAATTTTCTATAATATTGAACCTAGAAACATGAAATTATGTATGTAGAGCCCGGATTAGGCCAGAACACTTAAAGGGGGACTTTTTGGTACTTTTTCGTTCTACAAAAGGTACTTTTTGAATTTTCTATAATATTGAACCTAGAAACATGAAATCAAGTATGTATAGCCCGGATTAGGCCAGAGCACATAAAAGGGGACTTTTTGGTACTTTTTCGTTATACAAAAGGTACTTTTTGAATTTTCTATAATATTAAACCTAGAAACATTATGTAGAGCCTGGATTAAGTGGGAACCCATAAAAGGGAAGTTTTTTGTACTTTTTCGTTCTTTAAAAGGTACTTTTTGAAATTGCTATAATATTGAACATAGAAATATGAAATTAAGCATGTAGAGCCCGGATTAAGTTAGAACGTATAAAATGGGATACAATTGGTATTTTTTGATTTTTGTAATAAAATTCGTACTGGCTGTTTTTTACACATCATGGTGAAGGGTATATAAGAAGGGTATATAAGGTATATAATATAGAACTCTTACTTATTTAAATTTCTATTACATTGAACCTAGAAACATGAAATTAAGCATGTTGAGCCCGAAATATATAAAAGAGGACTTTTTGGTACTTTTTCGTTCTACGAAAGGTACTGAAATATGAAATTAAACATGTAGAGCCCGGATTAAGTGAGAACCTGTGTTTAAAATTGTAACAATCTATCCAAAATAATCCATATACCCCATACAAAGGTACATATTCCCGGAAATGAATTTATTAACTTCCCCAAATAAATCGGTATTAACACAAAATTCTGTACATATTAACATAAAATGAACCGGAATCACCGTCCAACAAAAAGAGAAAAAATTCGTTAGACATGAAAATTCTGTACATATTAACATAAAATGAACCGGAATCACCGTCCAACAAAAAGAGAAAAAATTCGTTAGACATGAACCGGATGATATACGTCTGAAACTATAAATTTAATGGAGAATAACTGTGTTTTTATTTTTTTATTTCGTGATCCTGTATCCTTTTTAAAGGACTTCAAAGTTTTAAAAAGAACATTTTTCAAAAAAAAAATTTAAAATACTTCTACTGATCAAACAATGCCATATTTAATGTCAATAGAACATGAAGAGTTGGGAAATATTTTTCATAATTTTTATTTTATACTGTCACGATAAAAATATGTCAAAAATGTCTTTTAAAATGTTTATCCTTTATTATCTATTAAGGTTTTCAATATTATTTTTTTCAAAAAAAATTTTAACATCTTTTGATCTTGGCGGAATAAAATAAAAATTAAACAAAATATTTTACAACTCTTCTTGTTCTCTTGACATCAAATTTTGTATTGTTTGATCAGTAAAAGTATTTTTAAATATTTTTTGAAAAATGCACTTTTTAAAACTGTGAAGTCCTTTGAAGAGGATACAGGATCACGAAATGAAAAATTAAAAACGTAGTTTTTCTCCATTAATTTTCTAGTTTCAGACGTACAGTTAATCTCAAAAATAAGTATACAGAAATACTGACAATTGGTTTTATTTAAAAAAGGATATTATTTTTTCAAAAATCAAAAAAGTAACATATTTATTTATTAAAAACAATTGTGATAATTATTATTCACTACTTTTTTCCGGGTTATTTTGGTTACTTGAGTTCTCATTTAAGGTGTAGTTAAATAGGTACAAAATTTACGTCACAAAAGTAAGTATACAGATAATTTCAATATGTATTTGGCTTAATGATATTAACAAAATTCATGAAAATTTTACCTGTTTGAATGTTATTATTTTATAATAAAATATTATGTACACTATAACATGGAAAAAAATTCACTCTTGTTCCGAAAAATTTAAATTTTTGGTAATTGATCTGAATATTATTTATAGGAGCATTTTTTCCTATTTAAGAACAATTAACCCCCGGAGTTTTGGATCGGGTATTCAATAATATCCCTCATTTGTTCATTATGAAGCATTGGAAGACGATATTTTAACTTTTAAATTAATTGTTTCTTTACAATAATTACAATCCATTGCGGAACATTGCCGTTTTTAACATAGTATAGAGTTCATATTCGATATTTAACGGCGATTTCCTAAAATTTATATCTTAAAATGCGATATTAATAATATTTGAACTAGTATCCATTAATTAAAACAAGTTTTTTGGTTCCAATCATCCATTACACACTCCTAAATACTACCAATAATCGTCAAATGGTGACCATGTCAATAACTTACACTACATATCGGTTCTGAAATTGTTTATTGTCCAAAATAGTAAGATTTTTATATTAAATCAGGCTCAATTGGTGGTATGAATACCAATTGAACAATTTTGAACACGGATACATCTTAATTTGTTGCTAGAACAAATAAAATGTCCGATCCATAAAACATGGTTATTGTATCGAGTATATCAAGATATGATTGCTAGCATTATTGTATGCTTTGGAAATCGGAGTATTTGGAAAACCTGTTTAAATTAAAGAAAATATTTAGAATTATCCAAATTTTAAAGTTTATGTTGTAAGTCTTAAGAAATCGGAGTTAAATTTCGGGTTTTTAAGAACGTACTGTGTTCAAAATGGCCAAATCCATGCATATAACATTAATTTCGAAATAACAACTCTTTTCAAAAGTTAAAAATTCTATTTCCAATGCATCATTTGGAGGGTTCAATGACCACCAGATCCACAATCCTGGGTCTAAAGTGGAAAAAAATCGTAGAAATGAGAAAAAACTAAATAATTCTTCTAATTCCGGACCCAATCGGCCCAAATTTAAAGATTTCGGAACTAAAAGTAGATTTTTTCCAAGTTATTGTGTAAAAAATATTTTATTAAAAAGTAATTATATTAATACAAGTAAAATTTTCATAAATTTTGTTAATATCATTAAACCAAATATATACTGAAATGATCTGTATACTTACTTTTGTGACGTAAATTTTGCACCTTTTTAACTTTAGCTTAAATGAGATCTCAAAGAACCAAAATATGAAGAAAAAAAGTAGTGAATAATAATTATCATAATTGTTTTTAATAAATAAATGTGTTACTTACTTGTTTTTTGAAAAAATAATATGTTTTTTTAAATAAAACCAATCATCAGTATTTCTGTATACTTATTTTTGTGATTAACTGTATATCATTCAGCGAAATTTTTTCACATTGGTCCATAATTGGTCATAGCTTCCATATATGGTCCACTTTCGAAAATTACCTATAAGCACAATTTCATTGGCAATCAAAATTATCGAAATAAAATACATTTTTTGTATATATAAATCATTATATGAAATTTTTTCAGTATCGATCCATAATTGGTCATAGCTGTTATATGAGGTTCTCTTCTGAAAATCACTTAATACCACATAATTTATTACTAAATAATTATATCCGGATAAAATTAGACATGAGTATGTTCCGTGTATTTATGAATAATTTTGCTTAAATTTTTTCGAATAGTTCCCATATAAAGTCGTACTTCAAAATTTTTCGGTATCGGCAGGATCGGCACACAATAGGCTATAGCATCCGTAAAAGGTCTATATCTGAAATCTAAATGACAAATAGTATCCTCATGATAGAAACAAAACATATGCCTGGCTTTACAGTTCTTAATAAGGGAACTAAAGTTCTGTAGTTCTTAAGTAAAATTTCTTCCCTTAGTATCAACTATTAATCCGGCCCTTAAACTTTAACAATTTATAAAACACATTGGGTTTTAATAAAAAAGTAGCTTGCTTGTTTGTAATAAAATACGTTCTAACTGTCTGTTTAACACACTATGGTGAAGGATATATAAGATTCGGCACAGCCGAATATATAACTAAAAATCTTCACAGAAACCACAATTTATTTTAATTAATGTTTTTTTTTCTTTTCTATTTATACCCTACACTACTATAGTGGAGAAGGTATTTTACGTTTTTGCTGATATTTGCATAAGTATACCAATC